ATATACTCTTTTACTCATATAGAACACACACATCTACACGTTTGGGACAAAATATTTTTTCCACAGGAACATCAACCTGGCTGTGAATGAACGGATTGACAAACCAAGGAGGGCTTTCTATGCCATTAAACAATCTATTAAATTAGACATACCAATTAGGATCTGGCTCAAAATATTCTAATCAATAATAGAACCAATAGCACTATATGGCAGTGAAGTGTGGGGTCCGCTTACAAAGCAAGAACTTGACAAATGGGGCAAACACCCAACTGAAACCCTGCATACGGAATACTGTGAGCATCCTCAGAGTACAGAGAAAAACTCCAAACAACGCATGCAGAGCAGAATTAGGCCAAATCCCTCTTCTGATTAATATCCAAAAAATAGTCACCAAATTACATCATTATTTAAAAACAAATTACAGCCACTCCTACCATTACAAAGCACTCAAATGCCATGAATTGACCATAGAGAAGAGTCCCCTTAGCCAGCTGGTCCTGAGGATCAAATCATTAACCACTACCAGCCCAACAAAGCCTCAGGACAGCAGTCAGAAAATCTGCCCCAACCAAATTATCACAAAGCAAAAAAGGAAAATATATCACCTATTGGAAAGACACCACAAAAAAATCAAAGTACATGGTGGCAGACTATCTGACCACTGTGACTGATAGAACATTGAGTAAAACAATGACTAGGTACAGACTCAGTGAGCACAGTCTGGCTATAGAGACCGGTCGTCACAGGCAAACCTGGCTGCCCAGAGAGGACAGGCTGTGCTCACTCTGCCCCCGGGGAGAGATAGAGACAGAGATGCATTTTCTGTCAAATTGTGACAGATATTCTGACATAAGAAATACATTCTTCCCCAAAAGTATGAAACAATATTAAGAATTAGAAAACCTAAATGATGAAGATAAACTTAAGTACATACTGAACCAACATGCTGTGTTTTAGCCTCCTGCCACAACCTGAGAGACAGCCAGTGAAAAGTCTGGTGTGATTATTCATACACTACATGACCAAAAGTATGTGGACACCTGCTCGTCCAACATCTCATTCCAAAATCATGGGCATTAATATGGAGTTGGTCCCCCCCTTTGCTGGCTATAACAGCCTCCACTCTTCTGGGAAGGCTTTCCACTAGATGTTGGAACATTGCTGCGGGGACTTGCTTCCATTCAGCCACAATAGCATTAGTGAGGTCAGGAACTGATGTTGGGCGATTAGGCCTGGCTTGCAGTCAAGCGTTCCAATTCATCCCAAAGTTATTCAATGGGTTTGAGGTCAGGGCCTCTGTGGCCAGTCAAGTTCTTCCACACCGATCTCGACCAAACCATTTCTGTATGGACCTCGCTTTGTGCACAGGGGCATTGTCGTGCTGAAACAGTAAAGGGCCTTCCCCAAACTGTTGCCACAAAGTTGAAAGCACAGAATCGTCTAGATTGTCATTATATGCAGTAGCGTTAAGATTTCCCTTCACAGGAACTAAGGGGCCTAGCCCGAACCATGAAAAACAGCCCGGACCATTATATCTCCTCTACCAAACTTTACAGTTGGCACTATGCATTGGGGCAGGCAGCGTTCTCCTGGCATCTCCTGGTGAAGCGTGATTCATCACTCCAGAGAACGCGTTTCCACTGCTCCAGAGTCCAATGGCGGCGAGCTTTACACCACTCCAGCCGACGCTTGGCATTTCCCACGGTGATCTTAGGCTTGTGTGTGGCTGCTCAGCCATGGACACCCATTTCATGAAGCTCCCTTCGAACAGTTCTTGTGCTGACGTTGCTTCCAGAGGCAGTTTGGAACTCGGTAGAGAGTGTTACTACCGAGGACAGACGATTGTTACGCGCTACGCCCTTCAGCACTCGGCGGTCCCGTTCTGTGAGCTTGTGTGGCCTATCACTTCGCTGCTGAGCCGTTGTTGCTCCTAGACGTTTCCATTTCACAATAACAGCACTTACAGTCAGTCTAGTCTATTCCTGTCTAGTGTAATCAGTCTAGTCTGTTCCTGTGTAGTCTAATCAGTCTAGTATAATCCTGTCTAGTTTAGTCAATCTAGAATAGTCCTGTCTAGTCAGTCTAGTATAATCCTGTCTAGCCTAGTCAGTCTAGTATAATCCTGTCTAGTCAGTCTAGTATAATCCTGTCTAGTCTAGTCAGTCTAGTATAATCCTGTCTAGTCTAGTCAGTCTAGTACATTCCTGTCTAGTCAGTCTAGTATAATCCTGTCTAGTCTAGTCAGTCTAGTATATTCCTGCTCTAGTCAGTCTAGTATAATCCTGTCTAGTCTAGTCAGTCTAGAATAGTCCTGTCTAGTTTAGTCAGTCTAGAATAGTCCTGTCTAGTCTAGTCAGTCTAGTATATTACTGTCTAGTCTAGTCAGTCTAGAATAGTCCTGTCTAGTTTAGTCAGTCTAGAATAGTCCTGTCTAGTCAGTGTAGTATAATCCTGTCTAGTCTAGTCAGTCTAGAATAGTCCTGTCTAGTCAGTCTAGAATAGTCCTGTCTAGTCAGTCTAGTATAATCCTGTCTAGTCTAGTCAGTCTAGAATAGTCCTGTCTAGTCAGTCTAGAATAGTCCTGTCTAGTCAGTCTAGAATAGTCCTGTCTAGTCAGTCTAGAATAGTCCTGTCTAGTCTAGTCAGTCTAGTATAATCCTGTCTAGTTTAGTCAGTCTAGAATAGTCCTGTCTAGTCAGTGTAGTATAATCCTGTCTAGTCTAGTCAGTCTAGAATAGTCCTGTCTAGTCAGTCTAGAATAGTCCTGTCTAGTCAGTCTAGAATAGTCCTGTCTAGTCAGTCTAGTGTAATCCTGTCTAGTCTAGTCAGTCTAGAATAGTCCTGTCTAGTCAGTCTAGTATAGTCCTGTCTAGTCTAGTCAGTCTAGAATAGTCCTGTCTAGTTTAGTCAGTCTAGAATAGTCCTGTCTAGTCAGTGTAGTATATTCCTGTCTTTGACCATCGTTGTTATACAGTATGTTTACTTTGACAAAGCATATCAAAACAGAGAGAGAGAGAGAGCAGAATTATGCATTATACCATCACACAGGGTGTGTGGTAAGACTGAGGGAAGTCACACCTCCTAAAGACACTGTTATACAGGTCATCATCTGTAGTGAAGTCACACCTCCTAAAGACACTGTTATACAGGTCATCATCTGTAGTGAAGTCACACCTCCTAAAGACACTGTTATACAGGTCATCATCTGTAGTGAAGTCACACCTCCTAAAGACACTGTTATACAGGTCATCATCTGTAATGAAGTCACACCTCCTAAAGACACTGTTATACAGGTCATCATCTGTAGTGAAGTCACACCTCCTAAAGACACTGTTATACAGGTCATCATCTGTAGTGAAGTCACACCTCCTAAAGACACTGTTATACAGGTCATCATCTGTAGTGAAGTCACACCTCCTAAAGACACTGTTATACAGGTCATCATCTGTAGTGAAGTCACACCTCCTAAAGACACTGTTATACAGGTCATCATCTGTAATGAAGTCCACACCTCCTAAAGACACTGTTATACAGGTCATCATCTGTAGTGAAGTCACACCTCCTAAAGACACTGTTATACAGGTCATCATCTGTAGTGAAGTCACACCTCCTAAAGACACTGTTATACAGGTCATCATCAGTAGTGAAGTCACACCTCCTAAAGACACTGTTATACAGGTCATCATCTGTAGTGAAGTCACACCTCCTAAAGACACTGTTATACAGGTCATCATCTGTAGTGAAGTCACACCCTCCTAAAGACACTGTTATACAGGTCATCATCTGTAGTGAAGTCACACCTCCTAAAGACACTGTTATACAGGTCATCATCTGTAGTGAAGTCACACCTCCTAAAGACACTGTTATACAGGTCATCATCTGTAGTGAAGTCACACCTCCTAAAGACACTGTTATACAGGTCATCATCTGTAGTGAAGTCACACCTCCTAAAGACACTATTCAAGTTCTATTTGTTATGAATGAACCAACTTTTCAGCACCGTTCGCTTTCATTATCCTCAAGCCTTAGAGCATGTTTCTATTCATTAGGGTTGTTGTTGTTGTTGTTGTTGTTGTTGTTAATGTGTTGTTGTTGTTGTTGTTGTTAATGTGTTGTTGTTGTTGTTGTTGTTAATGTGTTGTTGTTGTTGTTGTTGTTGTTGTTGTTGTTGTTGTCCTCCACAGTGAACACCCTGGGCATCAGTGATGATCTGAAACATAAACTGCAGGATGTGATGGTGGACAGACACAAACTAACCCTGGGAAAGACTCTGGGAGAGGGTGAGTGTGTGAATGTGTCTAGATCCTGTAGTTGTTCTAGGCAGGGTGTGTGTCCTGGATCGTCCTGCTACTCTGCTGGCTGTAACTATCTCTATCTAATCATCACTGATACCTCCTGACCTTGTGACTGCTGGAACCGTTCAGTCAACTAACTGATACTTAGTGGTGTTACACAGGGTGAATGTGTGTCCATCTAATAGCCTTGTTACCAGCAGAACCGTTCTGACCGTGTTCTGGCTTCAAGGCCCGGAGGGTAGATACCAACGATAAAATAAAGAGTACATTGACATGAGAAAATGTCAAAGAATATAACATCTGCTGTCCAACAGTGCACCTTTGTGAATGTAAACAGATGTTTGTCTGTGTGTCTACAGGAGAGTTTGGCTCGGTGATGGAGGGAGCGTTAACCCAAGAGGAGTCTGTTCTCAAAGTGGCAGTGAAGACCATGAAGAGTAAGTTAACTATGACACCACTACAGAGTAAGCAGCACATACACTAGTCTGTTTCTTTGACACCCTTACTTTTGACACCCTTACTTTTGACACCCTACTTTTGACCGTAGACTCTATTTCCTGTAAAGTGCATTACTTTTGAACAATAAAGTCCAGTACTTTTGACCAGAGCCCGAGTGCACTACATAGGAACTAGACTGGGATGAGAGATGAGTCCATGTTCTCACCCATCTCTCCTCCTCTAGTTGCTATCTGTACCCGCACCGAGATGGAAGACTTCCTGAGAGAAGCTGCTTGTATGAAGGAGTTTGACCATCAGAACGTCATGAGACTGCTAGGTGAGACTGGACCGAACTACTGTGCGTGCGTTCATGCATATGTGTGTGTGTGTGTGGCCCCTGGAGAGAGTGCGACCGTCCCTCTGTCTGTGTGTGTGGCCCCTGGAGAGAGTGCGACCGTCCCTCTGTCTGTCTGTGTGTGTGGCCCCTGGAGAGAGGGCTACTGTCCCTCTGTCTGTCTGTCTGTGTGTGGCCCCTGGAGAGAGGGTGACCGTCCCTCTGTCTGTCTGTCTGTCTGTGTGTGGCCCCTGGAGAGAGGGCGACCGTCCCTCTGTCTGTCTGTGTGTGTGGCCCCTGGAGAGAGGGCGACCGTCCCTCTGTCTGTCTGTGTGTGTGGCCCCTGGAGAGAGGGTGACCGTCCCTCTGTCTGTCTGTCTGTCTGTGTGTGGCCCCTGGAGAGAGGGCGACCGTCCCTCTGTCTGTCTGTGTGTGTGGCCCCTGGAGAGAGGGTGACTGTCCCTCTGTCTGTCTGTGTGTGTGGCCCCTGGAGAGAGGGTGACCGTCCCTCTGTCTGTCTGTCTGTCTGTGTGGCCCCTGGAGAGAGGGTGACCGTCCCTCTGTCTGTCTGTCTGTCTGTGTGGCCCCTGGAGAGAGGGTGACCGTCCCTCTGTCTGTCTGTGTGTCCCAGGTGTGTGTCTGCAGACAGTGGAGAATGAAGGCTACCCCTCCCCTGTAGTCATCCTACCATATATGAAACATGGAGACCTACACAGCTACCTGCTCTACTCACGGCTTGGAGACTGCCCCGTGGTCAGTACACACACACACACACACACACACACACACACACACACACACACACACACACACAGGGGAGGAAATGTATCTCTTACTGAATGACCTCACTATCAGCACTTCTGAATGGATGACATGTTTATTTGGAAGAGAATCACTACACTATGACTCTCTACAGACTAGTGTTGAGAATCACTACACTATGACTCTCTACAGACTAGTGTTGAGAATCACTACACTATGACTCTCTACAGACTAGTGTTGAGAATCACTACACTATGACTCTCTACAGATTAGTGTTGAGAATCACTACACTATGACTCTCTACAGACTAGTGTTGAGAATCACTACACTATGACTCTCCACAGACTGGTGTTGAGAATCACTACACTATGACTCTCTACAGACTAGTGTTGAGAATCACTACACTATGACTCTCCACAGACTGGTGTTGAGAATCACTACACTATGACTCTCTACAGACTAGTGTTGAGAATCACTACACTATGACTCTCCACAGACTGGTGTTGAGAATCACTACACTATGACTCTCCACAGACTGGTGTTGAGAATCACTACACTATGACTCTCTACAGACTAGTGTTGAGAATCACTACACTATGACTCTCCACAGACTGGTGTTGAGAATCACTACACTATGACTCTCCACAGACTGGTGTTGAGAATCACTACACTATGACTCTCTACAGACTAGTGTTGAGAATCACTACACTATGACTCTCCACAGACTGGTGTTGAGAATCACTACACTATGACTCTCCACAGACTGGTGTTGAGAATCACTACACTATGACTCTCTACAGACTAGTGTTGAGAATCACTACACTATGACTCTCTACAGACTAGTGTTGAGAATCACTACACTATGACTCTCCACAGACTGGTGTTGAGAATCACTACACTATGACTCTCTACAGACTAGTGTTGAGAATCACTACACTATGACTCTCCACAGACTGGTGTTGAGAATCACTACACTATGACTCTCCACAGACTGGTGTTGAGAATCACTACACTATGACTCTCTACAGACTAGTGTTGAGAATCACTACACTATGACTCTCTACAGACTAGTGTTGAGAATCACTACACTATGACTCTCCACAGACTGGTGTTGAGAATCACTACACTATGACTCTCCACAGACTGGTGTTGAGAATCACTACACTATGACTCTCTACAGACTAGTGTTGAGAAACACTACACTATGACTCTCTACAGACTAGTGTTGAGAATCACTACACTATGACTCTCCACAGACTGGTGTTGAGAATCACTACACTATGACTCTCTACAGACTAGTGTTGAGAATCACTACACTATGACTCTCCACAGACTAGTGTTGAGAATCACTACACTATGACTCTCTACAGACTAGTGTTGAGAAACACTGGGCCTTATCCAAACAAGAGTTCCTAGAAAATGTTGAAATGTTGCAGGATTTAGGAAATGCTCCAAAAATCCTCTAGTGTAGAATTTGATATCCCAGCCTCCTTCTGGGACTGGGGTGGACTGTACCACTCTGTCTGCTATGGGGGGAACAGACTATACCACTCTGTCTGCTATGGGGGGAACAGACTATACCACTCTGTCTGCTATGGGGGGAACAGACTATACCACTCTGTCTGCTATGGGGGGAACAGACTATACCACTCTGTCTGCTATGGGGGGAACAGACTCTACCACTCTGTCTGCTATGGGGGGAACAGACTATACCACTGTCTGCTATGGGGGGAACAGACTACACCACTAGTATATCTCTATGTCACATGGTTCAGCCCTGGAAGCCTAAGAGTCTCTGTCAGACAGAGGAGGATGTCGCCCTCTAGTGTACTGAAAACAAACATGCAGGGTTTGAAAATAAACATTGGGAAACTAGAGATATTTGATCTATGATGATCTAGGTATGATCTCTATGTGTGTTTCCATGTCTGTTATTGTGTTTGTGTGCCACTACTGAGGAATGTCCTGTGTGTGTGTGTGTATTGTATGTTCTGTGTGTGTGTGTGTGTGTGTGTTGTGTGTGTGTGTGTGTGTATTGTATGTTCTGTGTGTGTGTGTGTGTGTGTGTATTGTATGTTCTGTGTGTGTGGTTATGTGTATGTTCTGTGTGTGTGTGTGTGTGTATTGTATATTCTGTGTGAGTGTGTGTATTGTATGTTCTGTGTGTGTGTGTGTGTGTGTGTGTGTATTGTATGTTCTGTGTGTGTGTGTATTGTATGTTCTGTGTGTGTGTGTGTGTGTGTGTGTGTGTGTCTGTATTGTATGTTCTGTGTGTGTGTGTGTGTGTGTATTGTATGTTCTGTGTGTGTGTGTATTGTATGTTCTGTGTGTGTGTTGTGTGTGTGTGTGTATTGTATGTTCTGTGTGTGTGTGTGTGTGGTGTTGTGTGTATTGTATGTTCTGTGTGTGTGGTGTGTTGTGTGTGGTATTGTCTGTTCTGTGTGTGTGTGTGTGTGTATTGTATGTTCTGTGTGTGGTGGTGGCTTGTGTGTGGTGTGTGTGTATGGTTTCTGTTTGTGTGTGTATTGTATTTTTCTGTGTGTGTTGTGTGTGTTTGTATGTTCTGTGTGTTGTGTTTGTATGTTCTGTGTGTTGTTGTGTTGTCTATTTTTATATTCTGTGTGTGTGTGTGTGTGTAGTTTATGTTTCTGTGTGTTTTGTGTGTTGTTTGTGTTGTATTGTATGTTCTGTGTGTGTGTGTGTGTGTGGTGTGTGTGTGTGTATTGTATGTTCTGTGTGTGTGTGTGTATTGTATGTTCTGTTGTGTGTGTGTGTGTATTTGTATATTCTGTGTGTTGGTTTGTGTGTGTATTGTATGTTCTGTGTGTGTGTGTGGTGTATTGTATATTCTGTTGTGTGTGGTGTGTATTGTATGTTCTGTGTGAGTGTGTGTGTGTGTATTGTATATTCTCTGTGTGTGTGTGTGTATTGTATGTTCTGTGTGAGTGTGTGTGTGTGTATTGTATTCTGTGTGTGTATGTATTGTATGTTCTGTGTGTGGGGTTTTTTTTTGGGGGTGTTTGTATTTTTTTTGGGGGGGGTTGTTGTTTTTTTTTTTTTTTTTTTTTTTTTTTTGGGGGGGGGGGGGGGGGGGGGGGTTGGGGGGGGGGGGGGGGGGGGGGGGGGGGGGGGTTTTTTTGGGGGGGGGGGTTTTTTTTTGGGGGGGGGGGTTTTAAAGGGGGGGGGAAAATTTTTTGGGGGGGGGGGGGGGTTTTTTTTGGGTTGGGGGGGGGTTTTTTTTTTTGGGGGGGGGGGGGGGGGGGGGGGAAAAGGGGGGGGGGGGGGGGGGGGGGTTTTTTTTTTTGGGGGGGGGGGGTTTTGGGGGGGTTTTTTGGGGGGGGGGGGGGGGGGGGGGGGGGGGGGGGTTTTTTTTTAAATTTGTGGGGGGTTTTTTTTTCCCCAAAAGGGGGGGGAAAAAACCCCCCCCCTTTTTTTTCGGGGGGTTTTTTTTTTGGGGAACCCCCGGGGGGTTGTTTTTTGGGGGGGTTTTTTCCCCTTTTTTTTTTTTTTGGGGGGGTTTTTTGGGGGTAAAATTTGGGCCCCCCATTTGGCCCCCCCCAAAAAAATTTTTTCCCCCCCCGGGGGGGGGCCCCCCCCCCCCCCTCCCCGGGACAAACCCCCGGGGGGGGGGGGGGGAAAAAAGGAACGGGGAAAAAGGGGGGGGGGAAAGGGGGGGGGAGGGAAAGGAAAGGGGGGGGAAAAAAAAAAAAAAGGGGGGGGGGCCGGGGGGGAAAAAGGGGGGGGGGGGCCCCCCCCCCCCCCCCCCCCCCCCCCCCCCCCTTTTTTTTTTTTTTTTTTTTTTTTTTTTTTCCCCCCCCTTTTTTTTTTAAATTAAAAAAAACCCCCCCCTTTTTTAAGGGGGGTTTTAATTTTTTTTTTTTTTTAAAAATTTGAAAAAAGGGGGGTTTTTTGGGAAAAAAAAATTTTTCCCCCCCTTTTTCCTCCCGGGGGTTTTTCCCCAAAGGGGGGAAAAATTGGTTTGCGGGGAAAAATTTTAAAGGGGGGCCCCCGGGGATTTTTTTTTTTTTTTGGGGGGGGCCGGGGGGGGAAAAAAAAAAAAGGGGGAAAAAAAAAAACCCCCAAAAAAAAAAACCCCCAAAAAAAATTTTAAAAAAAATTTTTTTCCCCCGGCCTTTCCCCCCCTTTCCCAATGGTTCCCCCCCCCCAAAAGGCCCCCCCCCCGGGGGGGCCCCGGGGGGGCCCCCCCCCGGGCCCCCCCAAAAAATTTGGGGAAAAAAAAATTTTTTTTTTCCCTGTTTTTTTAAAAAAAAAAACCCCCTTTTTTTTTCCCTTTTTTCCCCGGGGAATTTGGGGGGGGGAAAACCCAAAAAAAGAAGGGAAAAGAATTTTTCCCCCCCCCCCGGGGGGCCCCCCCCCCCCCCCCCCCCCTTTTTTTTTTTTTTCCCCCTTCTTTTTTTTTCTCCTCCCCCCCCTTTCTCTCCCCCCCCCTTCTCTCTCTCTCTCTTTTTTTTTCTTTTGGCCCCCCTTCTCCCCCCCTTTTTTTGGGTTGCCAAACTTTTGGGGGGGGGGGGGGGAAATGGTTTAAGGGTTTTCAAAATTTTTTGGGGGGTTTTTTCCCCCAAAAGGGGGGGGCCCCTTCCCCCCCAAAAAGGGGGGGGAACCCCCTTAAAAAAAAAGGGGGGGAAAAACCCTTTTGGGGTTTTTTTTTTAAATTTTTTTCCCCTTTTTTTTAATAAAAAGGGGGGGGTTTTTGGGGGGGGGGGAAAAAGGCTTTTTGGAAAATTTTTTTCCCTTAATTTGGGGGTTTTGGGGGGTTTTAAAAAAAATTTTTTTTTTTTTCCCCCCCTCCCTCCCCCCCCCCCCCCCCCTTTTTTTTCCCCCTCCCCTCCCCCCCCCTCCCCCCTTTTTTTTTCCCCCCCTTTTTTTTTTCCCCCCCCCCCTTTTTTTTCCCCCCCCTTTCCCGGGGGCCGGGGGCCCGGGGGGAAAAACCCCCCAAAAAAAAAAAAGGGGGGGAAAAAAAATTTTTTTTCCGGAAAAAAAAAACCCCCCCAAAAAAAAAGGGGGGGGGTTTTGGGGGGGTTTTTTCCCCCAAAAAATTTAAAAAGAGGGGGGTTTTTTTTTAAAAAAAAAACCCAAAAAAAAAAGGTTTTTTTTTCCCCCCCCAAAAAAAAAAAAGGGGGGGGGGGGTTTTTTTTTTGGAAAACCCTTTTTTTGGGGGAAAAAAGGGAAAAAAAAAAACCCCCCCCCAAAAAATTTAAATTTTTTTAACCCCCCCTTTTTCCCCCGGGGTTTTTAAATTTTTGGGGGTTTGGGGGGGGGGGGAAAAAAAGGGGGGGGAAAAAAAAAAAAAAATAGCGGGGAGTCTAACCACAAGAGCGATGTGGTGAGTCTAATGCCTGTAGTGGTGTGCATGTGTGCATACAAATGTAGATGTTCTCAGCACCAGTTCTTTCCCCTCCTATAAAGCCTACCTTCGTTGGTGTGTTGTCTATAAGAGGAATTAGGCTTAGGCAAACATGGCAGTGTGGTTGCAAGTGTTTAAATGCTTTGATTTGGTCACAGGCCTAGCTGCTGTTTGCCTAATGTGGATTTCAGTTTTTGGAATGTGTGAGACTGAGACTAACCAAAGCACTCCCTCCTCTCTCTCTGACCGTCTCTCACTTCCTCCTCTCTCTCTCACTCCCTGCTCTCTCACTCCCTCCTCTTTCTCTCACTCCCTCCTCTCTCTCTGAACCTCTCTCACTCCCTCCTCTCTCTCCCTCCTCTCTCTCAGTGGTCATTTGGTGTGACTATGTGGGAGATAGCGTCGCGCGGCCAGACTCCGTACCCAGGTGTGGAGAACAGTGAGATATATGACTACCTGAGACAAGGAAACCGCCTCAAACAACCTCCAGATTGTCTGGACAGCATGTGAGTGGCTCAACACTAGTTTGTCTGTCTGGCTGTCAATTTACAACAGATCTGGGTCAATATACAGTATATAAAATAATCTCAAATACTTGAGCTTGATTTCCATGTAGTTTGCCTGGTATACTCTTTGAAAAAAAGGGTTCCAAAAGGGTTATTTGTCTGTACCCATAGGAGAACCCTTTTTGGTTCCGTCTGTGGAAAGGGTTTAACATGGAACCCAAAAGGGTTCTATCTGGAACCCAAAAGGGTTCTTCAAAGGGTTTCCCAACCCTGGTCCTCCAGTACTCCCAACAGTACGCATTTTTGACAAGTTGAATCAGGTGTGCTTGTCCAGGGTTACAATGAAAAATGTGTAGTGATGGGGGTACTGAAGGACCAGGGTTGGTAACCACTGATCTAGATAGCACCTTAACTGTACAATGTCCCAATAGTGAAACTCTTACATATTGAGTTATGTCCTTTCAGCTGAAGTAATCAAACCTCTCCTTCTCTCCTTCTCTCCTCTCTCCTCTCTCCTCCTCTCCTCTCTCCTCTCCTTCTCTCCTTCTCTCCTCCTCCTCCTCCTCCTCCTCCTCCTCCTCCTCCTTCAGTTATTCCCTGATGTTCTCCTGCTGGTTCTTGAGTCCTAAGGACCGTCCTCTGTTTGAGACTCTCCGCGGGGAGCTGCAGAAGGCTCTCGAGGACCTGCCGGACTCCCAGGACCCAGATGAGATCCTCTACGTCAACATGGAGGAGTCGATGGAGCTGGGGGCCGTTGGGGGCCGCGACCCAGCCGGGGGCCTGAAGGGCCTGGACTCTGTGGCTACGGTGGAGGTGCACCACGCCCATCCCAGCCGCTATGTCCTCTGTCCCCAACACGACGCCAACCGGCTGCTCTCTGACTCCCTGGAGAGTCTCAACCTTGTGTCCTCCTCCTCCGCCACCCTGCCCCTGGGGACGACCCTACAACCCTCCGGCTGCTCCACCCCGACACCCACAGCAGAGGTACAGGAGGACAGAGATGGGACAGGGGGAGGGCCCAGGAAGGTACCCTGGTAGTGATGAAGGGCTCTACGCTCACCACCGTCACAGAGTCAACACAGACTGGTCAATACCATCAGAACTATACCATCCCTCCTGTTGGTATTCACGGTCACAGTCTTGACAGACAGACTGGACAAGACCATTTAATCCCAATCAAATAATTTAGCAAGCCTTGGTATTGACCCAGATGAATATAAAAGTGTTCCTACACACATTTTGCACAAACACACTCCTACACATTCCTACAAACACCCGTACACCCTCCTTTAGGCGTTCCACATTGTGATTGAAAGAGTGGGGTTGTCAAAATGTATATAGCTACGTCCTCACATCTCCTCCTTCTTAAGCACACATCATATCATAATGAGTCTACAGGCTGTTGGCCCTGAAACCCCTTAGACAGACCAGACAGTAGAGACCAGTACCCCTCAGACAGACCAGACAGTAGAGACCAGTACCCCCTCAGACAGACCAGACAGTAAAGACCAGTACCCCCTCAGACAGACCAGACAGTAGAGACCAGTACCCCCTCAGACAGACCAGACAGTAGAGACCAGTACCCCTCAGACAGACCAGACAGTAGAGACCAGTACCCCCTCAGACAGACCAGACAGTAAAGACCAGTACCCCCTCAGACAGACCAGACAGTAAAGACCAGTACCCCCTCAGACAGACCAGACAGTAGAGACCAGTACCCCCTCAGACAGACCAGACAGTAAAGACCAGTACCCCTCAGACAGACCAGACAGTAAAGACCAGTACCCCCTCAGACACACCAGACAGTAGAGACCAGTACCCCCTCAGACAGACCAGACAGTAAAGACCAGTACCCCCTCAGACAGACCAGACAGTAAAGACCAGTACCCCCTCAGACAGACCAGACAGTAAAGACCAGTACCCCCTCAGACAGACCAGACAGTAAAGACCAGTACCCCCTCAGACAGACCAGACAGTAAAGACCAGTACCCCCTCAGACAGACCAGACAGTAGAGACCAGTACCCCCTCAGACAGACCAGACAGTAGAGACCAGTACCCCTCAGACAGACCAGACAGTAAAGACCAGTACCCCCTCAGACAGACCAGACAGTAAAGACCAGTACCCCCTCAGACAGACCAGACAGTAGAGACCAGTACCCCCTCAGACAGACCAGACAGTAAAGACCAGTACCCCCTCAGACAGACCAGACAGTAAAGACCAGTACCCCCTCAGACAGACTAGACAGTAGAGACCAGTACCCCTCAGACAGACCAGACAGTAGAGACCAGTACCCCTCAGACAGACCAGACAGTAAAGACCAGTACCCCTCAGACAGACCAGACAGTAAAGACCAGTACCCCCTCAGACAGACCAGACAGTAAAGACCAGTACCCCCTCAGACAGACCAGACAGTAAAGACCAGTACCCCTCAGACAGACCAGACAGTAAAGACCAGTACCCCCTCAGACAGACCAGACAGTAGAGACCAGTACCCCTCAGACAGACCAGACAGTAAAGACCAGTACCCCTCAGACAGACCAGACAGTAGAGACCAGTACCCCTCAGACAGACCAGACAGTAAAGACCAGTACCCCCTCAGACAGACCAGACAGTAGAGACCAGTACCCCCTCAGACAGACCAGACAGTAGAGACCAGTACCCCCTCAGACAGACCAGACAGTAAAGACCAGTACCCCCTCAGACAGACCAGACAGTAAAGACCAGTACCCCCTCAGACAGACCAGACAGTAAAGACCAGTACCCCCTCAGACAGACCAGACAGTAAAGACCAGTACCCCCTCAGACAGACCAGACAGTAAAGACCAGTACCCCCTCAGACAGACCAGACAGTAGAGACCAGTACCCCTCAGACAGACCAGACAGTAGAGACCAGTACCCCCTCAGACAGACCAGACAGTAGAGACCAGTACCCCCTCAGACAGACCAGACAGTAGAGACCAGTACCCCCTCAGACAGACCAGACAGTAAAGACCAGTACCCCCTCAGACAGACCAGACAGTAAAGACCAGTACCCCCTCAGACAGACCAGACAGTAAAGACCAGTACCCCCTCAGACAGACCAGACAGTAGAGACCAGTACCCCCTCAGACAGACCACCATTAGCACACATTAGGCAAGTCCTTGTCCACCCAAACTGCATGCAGGACAATCAGAGACAAATCTAAACCCAATTGAACGTATGTCAACCACAGAGCTATATATTCCTGACTGCCAGAGACAGTTCTATCATAATGAACTGATCTACACAGGACCAGCTAATACCCTGCCAAATAGTGATCTACACAGTACCAGCTAATACCCTGCCATATAGTGATCTACATAGTACCAGCTAAGACCCTGCCATATAGTGATCTACACAGTACCAACTAATACCCTCCCTGCCATATAGTGATCTACATAGTACCAGCTAATACCCTGCCATATAGTGATCTACACAGTACCAGCTAATACCCTGCCTGCCATATAGTGATCTACACAGTACCATCTAATACCCTGCCTGCCATATAGTGATCTACACAGTACCAACTAATACCCTCCCTGCCATATAGTGATCTACAGAGTACCAACTAATACCCTCCCTGCCATATAGTGATCTACAGAGTACCAGCTAATACCCTCCCTGCCATATAGTGATCTACAGAGTACCAACTAATACCCTCCCTGCCATATAGTGATCTACAGAGTACCAACTAATACCCTCCCTGCCATATAGTGATCTACAGAGTACCAACTAATACCCTCCCTGCCATATAGTGATCTACAGAGTACCAACTAATACCCTCCCTGCCATATAGTGATCTACAGAGTACCAACTAATACCCTCCCTGCCATATAGTGATCTACAGAGTACCAACTAATACCCTCCCTGCCATATAGTGATCTACAGAGTACCAACTAATACCCTCCCTGCCATATAGTGATCTACAGAGTACCAGCTAATACCCTCCCTGCCATATAGTGATCTACAGAGTACCAACTAATACCCTCCCTGCCATATAGTGATCTACAGAGTACCAACTAATACCCTCCCTGCCATATAGTGATCTACAGAGTACCAACTAATACCACGCCTGCCATATAGTATACAGTCTACAGTGTCAACTCAGGAGCTATAATACTGGAAATGTCCAGCTAACTGAAGCAACCGTCCAGAAAGCATTGGAGCAGAGGACAAATCATAGATTATATGGAACTAATACAATAAACGGCCCTGCCGGTGGGATAGAGGCCATGATAATGGATAGAGGCCATGATAATGAATAGAGGCCATGATAATGAATAGAGGACATGATAATGAATAGAGGCCATGATAATGAATAGAGGACATGATAATGAACGGCCCTGCCGGTGGGATAGAGGCCATGATAATGAACGGCCCTGCCGGTGGGATAGAGGCCATGATAATGAATAGTGAATGGATTTACGTAACACAATGGGTGGGAGACAGAAGAGACTAACCTATGTCTAACTATAATGGAGTCATGTGACCTACCTTGGTCCTCTAACCATTATCAACAGGATAAGACTGTCCATCTTGAATGGATGGATCTCAACACAGACTCTCACCCTGTCTCAACCTGTCGCACCCTGTCTCACCCTGTCTCACTCTGTCTTACCCTGTCTCAATCTGTCTCACCCTGTCTCACCCTGTCTCACCCAGTTCCACCCTGTCTCAATCTCTCACCCTGTCTCACCCTGTCTCACCCAGTTCCACCATGTCTCAATCTCTCACCCTGTCTCACCCTGTCTCAATCTGTCTCACCCTGTCTCACCCTGTCTCAATCTGTCTCAATCTATCTCACCCTGTCTCACCCTGTCTTACCCTGTCTCAATCTGTCTCACCCAGTCTCACCCTGTCTCACCCTGTCTTACCCTGTCTAATCCTGTGTTACCCTGTCTCACCGTGTCACCCTGTCTCAATCTGTCTCACCCTGTCTTACCCTGTCTCACCCAGTCTTACCCTGTCTCACCCAGTCTCACCCTGTCTTACCCTGTCTCAATCTGTCTTATCCTGTCTCACCCTGTCTCACCATGTGTTTTACCCTGTCTCAATCTGTCTCACCCTGTCTCACCCTGTCTCACCATGTGTCTTACCCTGTCTCAATCTGTCTCACCCTGTCTCACCCAGTCTCACCCTGTCTCAATCTGTCTCACCCTGTCTCACCCAGTTTCACCATGTGTCTTACCCTGTCTCAATCTGTCTCACCCTGTCTCACCCAGTCTCACCCTGTCTTACCCGGTCTCAATCTGTCTCACCCTGTCTCACCATGTGTCTTACCCAGTCTCAATCTGTCCACCCTGTCTCACCCAGTTTCACCATGTGTCTTACCCTGTCTCAATCTGTCTCACCCTGTCTCACCCAGTCTCACCCTGTCTCACCCAGTCTCACCCAGTCTCACCCTGTCTCACCCTGTCTCACCCTGTCTCACCCTGTCTCAATCTGTCTCACCCTGTCTCACCCAGTCTCACCCAGTCTCACCCTGTCTCACCCTGTCTCACCCTGTCTCACCCTGTCTCAATCTGTCTCACCCTGTCTCACCCAGTCTCACCCAGTCTCACCCAGTCTCACCCTGTCTCACCCTGTCTCACCCTGTCTCACCCTGTCTCGGCCTGTTGTGTTTTATGTTGTGAGTGGAAGAGAAAGGGAAAAGCAACAGGTCAGCAGGTCAGCAGGTCAACAGGTCAGCAGGTCAGCAGGTCAACAGGTCAGCAGGTCAACAGGTCAACAGGTCAACTGAAGCTGCTGTCAAGCATACATAACATTGAGGTCATTGTTTGCTAAATTAAAGCAATGGAATAGCTATTGATAGTTCAATTCTGAAAGCAAACCAAATTCCAATTCCACATTTTTCTCATTGAAAAGCATGGAATTGGAATGTTAGTGTACTTCCTATATTGACTGGAATTTAAATGGAATTGACCCCAACCCTGATTGATAAGTTCACGTAGGACCAGTAAGATATAGGATGTAACCTTATGTTGGTTTAACCCATAGCTACCGGAGGATCACTATGGCTACCTGATAGTCACTATGGCTACCGGAGGATCACTATGGCTACCTGATAGTCACTATGGCTACCGGAGGATCACTATGGCTACCTGATAGTCACTATGGCTACCTGATAGTCACTATGGCTACCTGATAGTCACTATGGCTACCGGAGGGTCACACCACACTCGATCCTTCTCAACGTAGTTGTGGCTCAAAGCACAGTGTTGCTGTTACACCATTTTGTTTATACGTGTGTATTCGATTTTGTTTTATGTATAAGACCTTTGCACTAATATTAACGTGTCCTTTTATATCATTATTGTCTTTTGGTTTTTTATGTATTTTTAGGCTTATTATCTTTTTTTGTTTTAATGTAATTTCCATGTATTCTTGGGGCTCTATTCAATCCGCATTGTGGAAGTATCAGTTTTTAGCGGAGACCGCATTCACAGTAAACAATGCATATGTCGGCTCGTTTTGGAAATGACCTTTCAATTTCTAATCGCGGAATCTTTCCAGATTAAATAGAGCCCTTGGTGGGCCTTGATGGGCCTTGGTGGGCCTTGGTGGGCCTGTTGAGAGCCTGCGATGAAATCTGTACGTCAGTAACCGTTTTCAAATTGTGTTCATATCAACCTTATCAATGCAACGGTCTGCATGGACCACAAAGCACGACGTCAGACGGATTTATCATAGTAGGATGAATATTTTCTAGCATTTTATCAACATGTTGTTCAGCGCCAGTAAAAGACTCGATGTACATGATCCTACACCAGCTTTGGTACTTTACATTCTAACTCAATGCACAGGTAGACAGCTGGTACAGTAGTCTGTATTAGAATGAAAACATTTGAATAATGTTTTCCCATCCATGTATTCTTTATTCCAATGTGCTGTTCAGTACACCACAACACAGATACATTAGGCTCAGTTATACATACGGTGATGTCATTTTCCCACAACAATGTTATGAATGAGTTAAACTTATTTTTCACCATGTGAATTTGTAAATACTTTTTTTACAACTAACCAAAATTGGAATTGGAAAATATTAAGACAAAAGAAAAGTGGACTTTGTAACTACGATATATAGCGATATTCCCCCAAGGTATGATATGGAACATCCCCTTTCCTGATATACAGAGTCTTAGAATACAATACAGTCATAACTTTACAATGTGCCTTCATTCCAGAGAGCCAGTATTCTGTGATCTGATTGGTTTCCATTTAATCTAATTGGTTTAAATGTTGCTCATTGGTTTCCATGTATCTGATTGGGAGGTGAAGAATGTGATGACAGTCACATATTATTGTCACTTCTGTGGTTTTTAAAACAGATTTTTATACTTATTTTGTATGAAATAAATGTGTACAGTGCATTCCTTACACCACTGTGTGGATCCTGTCTGCCTGTTGCAGTACATGAAATAAGGAGTAACAGATGGCTTTGGTATTTATTTTATTAACATAGTTTGATTACTTTGATTCTCTCTCTTAGGATCTAATTAACATCTAATAATGGTCTGATTACAGAAGCACAATGTTGAATCATGGTGTGTGTAGTATTGTGTGTGTGTGTGTAGTATTGTGTGTGTGTGTGTGTGTGTGTGTGTGTAGTATTGTGTGTGTGTTGGCTCAGAAGTGTACGTATGAGATCTGCACGTCTCCCTCCAGCTCCAGGGTGTCTATCTCACTGAAATTCTGGAAGCGGTGGGAGAAGTCACAGAAGTGCTGCCCGTTCACAAACACCTTGAACCGCTGGTTCCCACAACGGATAGACATCTGAGAGGCAGAGAGAGAGAGGCAGAGAGAGAGAGAGGCAGAGAGAGAGAGAGAGACAGAGAGAGAGACAGAGAGAGAGAGAGAGAGACAGAGAGAGAGAGAGAGACAGAGAGAGAGAAATAATCATAAAAACAGAGCCCATAGAGACTTGATGAGGAATGAGTGTGATGACAAACAGAAAGGACACTTATCTGACTTTGAACTTGTATTTGATATATGTCCACAGACATGGTCTGCATCCGAAATGGCACCCTACTCCATACATCGTGCACCCCATAGGCCCTAGTCAAAAGTAGTTCACTGTATAAGGAATAGGGTAACATTTTGGACACAGACCTGTTCCTTGTGTACTCACGTCAAAGTACTGTCCCTCCTGGAAGGGGTTGATGCTGATCTCTCTCTCCTCCGTCTCCCAGCTCCCACCAATCAAACTGTTTCTCACCACCTCTCCCTCCTGTAGACGAGGGTTGATGTGGAACACTATGTCCCGCGAGCCGCCCACCATAAAGTTTATAGAGAACCTGCAACACGCAGAACCCCACCACAAAGTTATTAATGTTGAACCTGCAACACACAGGAGGGGAGAGTGGGGTAAGTTGAGCCACCCTTGTTTCTGGCAAACCATACACAAAATGTATCATGTGACCAAATATTTAGGAAGATGTGATCATTTCATGGAGTCTGAAGGAAGAAACCACATGGGAAAAGCGGTAAGCAAGTTGGGTCCCAACAGTCAAATGAATGTGTGTTAGAGGTTTCATGGTGGTTGTATCTAAACCAAAGTAGATCGTTTTAAGATAGTTTTATACATCCGTTGGGGTCTCTATAAGCTACAATAGGAGGTCCTAAACCTAGCATGAAAGTAGCTGTGTGGGCTAATAAAGTCAAAATGTTTGCCTTGGGGTAAGTTATAATAATAATAATAAGCCATTTAGCAGACGCTTTTATCCAAAGCGACTTACAATCATGCGTGCATAAATTTTTTTTTGTGTATGGGTGGTCCCGGGTATCGAACCCACTACCTTGGCGTTACAAGCGCCGTGCTCTACCAGCTGAGCTACAGAGGACCACAATGGGTTGAGCCAATGGCTACCGTACCCCAATACAAATTATGATTACATTTAGTCAGTTGTATGCATAATGCGGACGATTCCGACTCGAGTTAAGTCCACGTAAATGGAAAAGTATTTCCATTTCTATGCACTTTTCTCTCTATGCGTATTTTGACCTTGAATTTAAGCATCAGAACAGCATGCTATTCACCCGCTATTCGTTTGGGGCTGGAGATCGAATAAATGAAGGTGTGGCGGAGGTGTGTCTACAGACACACCATATTCTGACCTAATTCCCTCATAATTCACCACCTTCACGTGAGGAAACCATGAATAACGTCTAGTTCCAAGACTGGTTCCAAGTTGAAAAAACATCTACTTTATTTTTTCAGATAAAAATAACATAATTCTCCACTCTTCGTACTGTAATTTACAACTTGATAACAGCTATTTATAAAAGCTAGGTAAATCTATTTGGATAAGGGAATTAGGTTAGGGGATAGGGGTTAGGGGTTAGGGGTTAGGGGATAGGGGTTAGGGGATAGGGGTTAGGGGTTAGGGGATAGGGGTTAGGGAATTGTAAACATACTGTAAATGACACTTGTTTTAGATCTATTTTATAATCGCTGGAGACAAATGTGAAACCAGTCATATGTCAGCAAACTGAAGCATATCAACTGCGTCCCCCACAATAAAATGTATGAAATGCGTTGCCGTAATGCAGAATTTAAATCGTACAGCCTTTTAACTTGCAGCGATGGGCTTGAATGTCTTAAGTTAGAGATATCAGGTTTTTTTTTTGCATGGGCTGTGTCTCAATCCACCGCATCCGCCGATGTCGGCCTTCCTCATCTGCGGTGGAAGGTGACCAAGCTACAGCGGTGTTTGTCAGACCATGAGACGTCCAGAAAATCGGTCTTCTCACAAAAACGTCTGTAGCGTACGAACGGTTTGGCTTATTCCTTATGATTTATTAAGAGACTAGTCAGGATCGAGATCCTTGATGACAAGGACAAGTCTCTGAATGTCCTTGAGTGGCCCAGCCAGAGCCCGAACTTGAACCCGATCTAACATCTCTAGAGAGACCTGAAAATAGCTGTGCAGCAACGCTCCCCATCCAACCTGACAGAGCTTGAGAGGATCTGCAGAGAAGAATGGGAGAAAAATATTCCAAAACATTCATCCTGTTTGCAATAAGGCACTAAAGTACTGCAAAAAATGTGGCAAAGAAATGAACTTTTTGTGCTGAATACAAAGCGTTATGTTTGGGGCAAATCCAACAAAACACATCACTGAGTATCACTCTTCATATTTTCAAGCATAGTGGTGGCTGCATCGTGTTATGGGTATGCTTGTCATCGGCAAGGACTAGGGAGCTTTTTTTTTTATAAAAAAGAAACTGAATAGAGCTAAGCAAAGGCAAAATCCTAGAGGAAAACTTTTACCAAAAACTCAAGGCCAAATATACACTAGAGTTGCTTACCAAGGTGATGTTGAATGTTCCTGAGTGGCATAGTTACAGTTTGGGTTAGGGGTTAGGGGTTAGGGGATAGGGGTTAGGGGTTAGGGGTTAGGGGATAGGCGTTAGGGGTTAGCATACTACAGACCTGTTAGCTCCTAGAGGCACCATGCCTCTGATGGGTTAGGGGATAGGGGTTAGGGGTTAGGGGTTAGGGGTTAGGGGATAGGGGATAGGGGATAGGGGTTAGGGGTTAGCGTACTACAGACCTGTTAGCTCCTAGAGGCACCATGCCTCTGATGGCGATGGTCTTCTTAGGACACATCCCTCCTGGAATCATGAGGGAGTACGGGACAGGCTGAGACACACAGGACAGGAGTCAGTTCACTGACAGAATGTAGTGTATACTGTATATACAGTGGGGAGAACAAGTATTTGATACACTGCCGATTTTGCAGGTTTTCCTACTTACAAAGCAGGTAGAGGTCTGTAATTCTTATCATAGGTATACTTCAACTGTGTGAGATGGAATCTAAAACAAAAATCCAGAAAATCACATTGTATGATTTTTAAGTAAGTAATTTGCATTTTATTGCATGACATAAGTATTTGATACATCAGAAAAGCAGAACTTAATATTTGGTACAGAAACCTTTGATTGCAATTACAGAGATCATACGTTTCCTGTAGGTCTTGACCAGGTTTGCACACACTGCAGCAGGGATTTTGGCCCACTCCTCCATACAGACCTTCTCCAGATCATTCAGGTTTCGGGGCTGTCACTGGGCAATACGGACTTTCAGCTCCCTCCAAAGATGTTCTATTGGGTTCAGGTCTGGAGACTGGCTAGGCCACTCCAGGACCTTGAGATGCTTCTTACGGAGCCACTCCTTAGTTGCCCTGGCTGTGTGTTTCAGGTCGTTGTCATGCTGGAAGACCCAGCCACGACCCATCTTCAATGCTCTTACTGTGGGAAGGAGGTTGTTGGCCAAGATCTCGCGATACATGGCCCCATCCATCCTTCCCTCAATACGGTGCAGTCGTCCTGTCCCCTTTGCAGAAAAGCATCCCCAAAGAATGATGTTTCCACCTCCATGCTTCACGGTTGGGATGGTGTTCTTGGGGTTGTACTCATCCTTCTTCTTCCTCCAAACACGGCGAGTGGAGTTTAGACCAAAAAGCTCTATTTTTGTCTCATCAGACCACATGACCATCTCCCATTCCTCCTCTAGATCATTCAAATGGTCATTGGCAAAACTCAGACGAGCCTGGACATGCGCTGGCTTGAGCAGGGGGACCTTGCGTGCGCTGCAGGATTTTAATCCATGACGGCGTAGTGTGTTACTAATTGTTTTCTTTGAGACTGTGGTCCCAGCTCTCTTCAGGTCATTGACCAGGTCCTGCCGTGTAGTTCTGGGCTGATCCCTCACCTTCCTCATGATCATTGTTGCCCCACAAGGTGAGATCTTGCATGGAGCCCCAGACCGAGTGTGATTGACCGTCATCTTGAACTTCTTCCATTTTCTGATAATTGCGCCAACAGTTGTTGCCTTCTCACCAAGCTGCTTGCCTATTGTCCTGTAGCCCGTCCCAGCCTTGTGCAGGTCTACAATTTTATCCCTGATGTCCTTCACAGCTCTCTGGTCTTGGCCATTGTGGAGAGTTTGGAGTCTGTTTGATTGAGTGTGTGGACAGGTGTCTTTTATACAGGTAACGAGTTCAAACAGGTGCAGTTAATACAGGTAATGAGTGGAGAACAGGAGGGCTTCTTAAAGAAAAACTAACAGGTCTGTGAGAGCCGGAATTCTTACTGGTTGGTAGGTGATCAAATACTTATGTCATGCAATAAAATGCAAAGTAATTATTTAAAAATCATACAATGGGATTTTCTGGATTTTTGTTTTAGATTTCGTCTCTCACAGTTGAAGTGTATCTAAGATAAAAAAATTACAGACCTCTACATGCTTTGTAAGTAGGAAAACCTGCAAAATCGGCAGTGTATCAAATACTTGTTCTCCCCCCTTAGGACAAAACAAATCCATCCTGACTCACAGAGATGTTACTTACAGGGTTGTATATTGGCTGTCCATCCATGACCGGCAGGTTTGACTGTGGGTGAGACAGAGTGAAGTGTTAGAGAACAGAACATGGGCAGCAGTAGTCAGACTTACCCCCATGTCACCTGGGTATCCACCACCCTGTGGGTATCCTCCACCCTGGGGGTATCCACCACCCTGTGGGTATCCTCCACCCTGGGGGTATCCACCACCCTGTGGGTATCCTCCACCCTGTGGGTATCCTCCACCCTGGGGGTATCCTCATGCCACCACCCTGTGGGTATCCACCACCCTGGGGGTATCCTCCACCCTGTGGGTATCCTCCACCCTGTGGGTATCCTCATGCCACCACCCTGTGGGTATCCACCACCCTGGGGGTATCCTCATGCCACCACCCTGTGGGTATCCACCACCCTGGGGGTATCCTCATGCCACCACCCTGTGGGTATCCACCACCCTGGGGGTATCCTCCACCCTGTGGGTATCCTCCACCCTGTGGGTATCCTCATGCCACCACCCTGTGGGTATCCTCCACCCTGTGGGTATCCTCCACCCTGTGGGTATCCACCACCCTGGGGGTATCCTCATGCCACCACCCTGGGGGTATCCTCCACCCTGTGGGTATCCACCACCCTGTGGGTATCCTCCACCCTGTGGGTATCCTCCACCCTGTGGGTATCCTCCACCCTGTGGGTATCCTCATGCCACCACCCTGTGGGTATCCTCCACCCTGTGGGTATCCACCACCCTGTGGGTATCCTCATGCCTCCACCCTGGGGGTATCCTCCACCCTGGGGGTATCCTCCACCCTGGGGGTATCCTCCACCCTGGGGGTATCCTCCACCCTGTGGGTATCCTCATGCCACCACCCTGTGGGTATCCTCCACCCTGTGGGTATCCTCCACCCTGTGGGTATCCTCATGCCTCCACCCTGGGGGTATCCTCCACCCTGGGGGTATCCACCACCCTGTGGGTATCCTCCACCCTGGGGGTATCCTCATGCCTCCACCCTGGGGGTATCCACCACCCTGGGGGTATCCTCCACCCTGTGGGTATCCACCACCCTGGGGGTATCCTCCACCCTGTGGGTATCCTCATGCCTCCACCCTGGGGGTATCCACCACCCTGGGGGTATCCTCCACCCTGGGGGTATCCTCATGCCACCACCCTGTGGGTATCCTCCACCCTGGGGGTATCCTCATGCCACCACCCTGTGGGTATCCACCACCCTGGGGGTATCCACCACCCTGGGGGTATCCACCACCCTGTGGGTATCCTCCACCCTGTGGGTATCCTCCACCCTGTGGGTATCCTCCACCCTGTGGGTATCCTCCACCCTGTGGGTATCCTCATGCCACCACCCTGTGGGTATCCTCATGCCACCTGGGTATCCAGCTTGATACAACAAGATATCACAACCCTCTGATTCAGGTATTTATTTATTTATTGTGAAGCATATAGCCTATCAACATTTATACATAAAAAAAAATAATATCCAGAGCGACTTACAGTTAGTGAGTGCATAATTTTTTTTTTCTTCATAACGAACCCACAACCCTGGCGTTGCAAGCGCCATGCTCTACCAACTGAGCTACACGGGACCAACGTGCTGGGGACCTGGTCAAATGTCTAACATTGCCATCTAAATGTAATGATCCCCCTGTCTGATAAGCATTGACAGGAGGGAACACAAATCCATTTAATGGCATTTGTTGAAACAGACACTCTGTCATAAACCGTCGTGGATGTGGTGGAGGAGTCAAGCGCAGGAAGCAGAGGTTTAGTCCAACAAGACTTTTAATAGTCTCAAATGCAAGATAACAAACCCCGACCTCGATAACACGAAGTGGCGAGGGAAAATTACGCACACGCGTAAAACACTAAACATGGAAAAATGACACGGAAAAACAAACACGTATCATATACAAAGTGGCAACGGAAAAACAACACACAAATACCCTAGATTACAACACGGAACTTATAAGACACGTAATCAACTCTCAAACAGACACAGGTGTGACAGACAGACAAAAGCAATCAAACTCAGAAACATAGAGCGGTGGCAGCTAGTACTCCGGGGACGGCGAACGCAGAAGCCTGCCCGAACCAGGAGGAGGAGCAGCCTCGGCCGAAACCTTGACAGTACCCCCCCCTTGACTCCAGCCGCGCGCCGACCCCGGCCTCGGGGACGGCCAGGAGGACGCGGACCCGGGCGCGTGGGATGCCCATGGTGAAACTCAGTCAGGAGGGATGGATCGAGTATATCCCTCCTGGGCACCCAGCACCGTTCCTCCGGACCGTACCCCTCCCACTCCACACGAGATACTGGAGACCACTCCTCCGGCGCCTCGAGTCCAAGATGGTCCGGACCCTGTACGCCGGGGCCCCCTCGATGTCCAAAGGGGGCGGAGGGGTCTCTCCTATCTCATCTTCTTGGAGTGGGCCAGCTACCACCGGCCTGAGAAGAGACACATGGAACGAGGGGTTAATATTTTTATACTCAATTGGCAGTTGTAACCTGTAACACACCTCGTTCAATCTTCTCAGGACTTTGAAGGGCCCCACAAACCGCCGACCCAGCTTCCGGCAGGGCAGGCGGAGGGGCAGGTTTCGAGTCGAGAGCCAGACTCGATCTCCCGGTGCGTACACCGGTCCCTCACTGCGGTGGCGATCGGCGCTCGCCTTTTGGTGACGGATGGCACGCTGCAGATGGACATGGGCAGCGTCCCACGTCTCTTCCGAGCGCCGAATCCACTCGTCCACCGCAGGGGCCTCGATCTGGCTCTCGTGCCACGGTGCCAGGACCGGCTGATAACCTAAAACACACTGGAAAGGTGTTAAGTTGGTGGAGGAGTGGCGGAGAGAGTTCTGGGCCATCTCTGCCCAGGGGATGAACCTCGACCACTCCTCCGGCCGGTCCCGGCAATAGGACCTCAAAAACCTACCCACATCCTGGTTGACACGTTCCACCTGCCCATTACTCTCTGGGTGGTACCCCGAGGTAAGGCTTACCGAGACCCCCAACCGTTCCATGAACGCTCCCCAAACTCTGGAAGTGAACTGGGGACCTCGGTCAGACACAATATCCTCGGGGACCCCATAGTGCCGGAACACATGGGTAAAGAGGGCCTCAGCGGTTTGTAGGGCAGTAGGGAGACCCGGCATGGGAAGGAGACGACAGGCCTTAGAAAACCGATCCACAACGACCAATATGGTGGTATTCCCCTGGGAGGGGGGTAGGTCAGTTACGAAATCCACCGATAGGTGGGACCATGGTCGTTGTGGAACGGGCAGGGGATGTAGCTTACCCCTGGGCAAATGTCTAGGCGCCTTACACTGGGCACACACCGAGCAGGAGGAGACATAAACCCTCACATCCCTAGCTAACGTTGGCCACCAGTATTTCATGCTAAGACAGTGCACGGTCCGGCCAATACCTGGATGTCCAGAGGAGGGTGATGTATGAGCCCAATAAATAAGATGATCACGGACCTCGAGCGGAACGTACGTCCGCCCCACAGGACACTCGGGGGGAGTAGGGTCGGTACGCAGTGCCCGCTCGATTTCCGTATCGACCTCCCATACTACCGGAGCCACCAAACAAGATTCCGGCAATATGGAAGTAGGCTCGTTGGACCTCTCCTCCGTGTCATACCGCCGGGACAGGGCGTCTGCCTTACCATTCTGGGACCCTGGGATGTATGTGATCTTAAAAACAAACCGGGTTAGGAACATATTCCACCTAGCCTGACGAGGGTTCAATCTCCTAGCTGCCCGGATGTACTCCAGGTTACGGTGATCAGTCAGAATGAGGAAAGGGTGTTGAGCCCCCTCAAGCCAATGCCTCCACACCTTTAGGGCTTGGACTACGGCTAACAACTCCCTGTCCCCAACATCATAGTTGCGCTCTGCCGAGCTGAGCTTCTTCGAGTAGAAAGCACAGGGGCGGAGTTTAGGTGGCGCGCCGGACCGCTGTGACAGGACTGCCCCAATACCGGTCTCGGACGCGTCTACCTCAACCTGGAATGGTAAAGAGGGATCCGGATGCGCCAGCACCGGAGCCGAGGTGAACAGTTTGACAAATGCCCTGTCCGCCTCAGCCGACCACCGCAAACGAACCGGACCCCCCTTTAGCAGGGACGTAATGGGAGCTGCAACCTGTCCAAAACCCCGAATAAACCTCCGGTAGTAATTAGCAAAACCCAAGAACTGCTGCACCTCTTTTACAGTGGTTGGAGTTTGCCAATTACGCACGGCCGATACCCGGTCTACCTCTATCTCCACACCAGACGCGGACAACCGATAACCCAAAAAGGAGACGGACTCCTGGAAGAACAGGCATTTCTCTGCCTTGACATACAAGTCATGCTCCAACAGTCTTCTCAACACTCGGCGCACCAGGGCTACATGCTCGGCTCGGGTAGAAGAGTACACTAGGATGTCGTCGATGTAAACTACTACACCCTGCCCATGCATGTCCCGGAAAATCTCGTCAACAAAGGATTGGAAGACTGACGGAGCATTCATTAACCCGTATGGCATGACGAGATACTCGTAATGACCCGAGGTGGTGCTAAATGCTGTCTTCCATTCATCCCCCTCCCTAATGCGCACCAGATTGTACGCGCTCCTGAGATCCAACTTTGTGAAGAACCGCGCTCCGCGTAATGATTCCGTCATCGTCGCAATCAGTGGCAGTGGGTAGCTGTATTTAACTGTGATCTGATTGAGACTACGATAATCAATACACGGGCGCAATCCCCCGTCCTTCTTCTTCACAAAGAAGAAACTCGAGGAGACTGGGGAAGTAGAGGACCGTATGTATCCCTGTGCCAAGGACTCGGCTATGTATGTCTCCATAGCCGCTGTCTCCTCTTGAGACAGGAGATACACATGACTCCGTGGAAGAGCCGCTCCTGTTTGGAGATTTATCGCACAGTCCCCCTGTCTATGAGGAGGTAGCCGTGCTGCCCTCGATTTGCTAAACACGAGTGCTAAATCCTCATACTCGGGGGGAATGCGCAGTGCGGCCACTTGGTTCGGACTCTCTACCGAGGTCGCCCCTACGGAAACACCTAGACATTTCCCTACACACTGAGCAGACCACTCCATAAGAGCCCTCTGTTGCCACGCTATGGTAGGATCATGGGTGCTTAACCAGGGAAGGCCCAACACCACGGGGTACGCAGGAGAGTCAATCAGATAAAACTGAATGATCTCCTCATGACCCCCCTGCGTCGTCATAGTCAGTGGTGCTGTGACCTCCCTGATCAGGCCCGACCCCAACGGCCGGCTGTCTAATGCGTGGACAGGAAATGGATTGTCTACCGGCCGAAGGGGAATCCTTAACCTACTACAAAATGCCCGATCAATAAAGTTCCCAGCTGCGCCTGAATCTACTAGCGCCTTATGCTGGGAATGAGGTGCCACCTGTGGAAACCTCACAGGAATACTCATGTGACCAACAGAGAGCTCTGGGTGAGTGGGGCGCCTACTCACCTGAAATGACTCCCCAGTGCGTGGCCTGTTGTCACCTCTCCCAGGAGACCCTCCCCAGCACCTGGCCGCAGTGTGTCCTCCACAACCGCAGGTGGTGCAGGGGATGGCCCCCCTCGGGTTCCCCTCTCCTCCTCTCTCTAGCGCCAGCACCCCCTAGCTCCATGGGAATCGGCTCGGGGGTGCTGGAGGGTGGACTGGACGACCCCCACTCGGGACGTCCGCGGGTAGCCAGCAGGGTATCCAGACGGATGGAAATGTCCACCAACTGGTCAAACGACAGGTTGGTGTCCCTGCAGGCCAGCTCCCTACGAACGTCCTCTCGTAGACTACATCGGTACTGGTCGATGAGGGCCCTCTCATTCCACCCCGCATCCGCCGCTAGTGTCCGGAACTCCAGTGCGAACTCCTGTGCGCTCCTCTTCCCCTGTCGGAGGTGGAATAGACGCTCCTCCCGCCGCTTTCCCCTCAGGGGGATGATCGAAGACAGCCCTGAAGCGGCGGGAGAACTCCGCGTAGGTGATGGTAGCGGCGTCTATTCCCCTCCATTCGGCGTTGGCCCATTCCAACGCCTTGCCGGAGAGACAGGAGATGAGGGCGGAGACGCTCTCGTATCCCGAGGGCGCCGGGTGTATAGTGGCAAGGTACAGTTCTACCTGCAGGAGGAATCCCTGACACCCGGCTGCAGAACCGTCATATGCCCTCGGGAGTGAGAGCCGAATGCCACTGGGTTCCGGTACTGAGAGAGGAGGACTGGCCGTTGGTGATGCGATGTTGTAAGGGTCCTTTGCCACCTCAGAGTTCACCAATCGGCGCAGGGCGTTGGACACCTCGTCCATGGCGGTCCCGAGTTGCTGGATCATGGCGTCCTGGAAATTGATCCGGTCCAGCAGGGATTCGGGTGCCGCCGCTGATCCTGCTGACTCCATGATGGTGTGTTGTTCTGTCATAAACCGTCGTGGATGTGGTGGAGGAGTCAAGCGCAGGAAGCAGAGGTTTAGTCCAACAAGACTTTTAATAGTCTCAAATGCAAGATAACAAACCCCGACCTCGATAACACGAAGTGGCGAGGGAAAATTACGCACACGCGTAAAACACTAAACATGGAAAAATGACACGGAAAAACAAACACGTATCATATACAAAGTGGCAACGGAAAAACAACACACAAATACCCTAGATTACAACACGGAACTTATAAGACACGTAATCAACTCTCAAACAGACACAGGTGTGACAGACAGACAAAAGCAATCAAACTCAGAAACATAGAGCGGTGGCAGCTAGTACTCCGGGGACGGCGAACGCCGAAGCCTGCCCGAACCAGGAGGAGGAGCAGCCTCGGCCGAAACCGTGACACACACCAACTACCAACTTACCCCGATTTCATCGCCAGCAGGATATCCTCCCTGTTGATGGTGGGAAACACACCAAATGTTATCCAGAGTTTATGACACACTAAGACACAGACTCATGAGTATATATCTCAATGTACAGTTACGCCACAATTCATGAATTCCACCTTTTTTAATTTCCTCCTGTCTCATCCCATGTTTTCGTTGCAACTGCCACCCGAAGCTTTGAACCAAAGAATGAACATACAAATGACAGACGATAAAGCAATTATCTTCCCTGTAGGATTTGGGAAGGGTACGCTGACCCTAGATTTGTGGGCAACAGAAGGCAACTTCTACCCTGAAGTGTGTTAACATACTGCTCCTCCCCTATTCCCTCAAGCCCCTATCCCAAGCCCTATCCCCTCCCACCCCCACCCGTTCCCCCCAGCCCCCCCCATCCCCTACCCCAGCCCCATGCACCAGCCCCCTGCCCCTATGCCCCACTACCCTCCTACCCCCCCCCTACCCCCTATCCCTACCCCCCTGCCCCTACCCTGACTCCCTACCCCCCCTGCCCATGCTACCCTACTCCCCTCCCCCCTGCCTAACCCTTCCCCCCTACCCTGCCCCCTACCCTCACCCTGCTCCTGCTCCCTAACCCCCTACTGCTACCCTACCCCCCCACCGGCCCTGCCCCCTGCCCCTACCCCCCCTAACCTCCCTCCCTGCCCCCTGCCCTACCCCCCTACCTCCCTGTCCACCCCCTGCCCCGCCCCTGCCCCCCCCCCCTACCCCCCTGCCCCTGCCCCCTGCCCCTGCTCCCTACCCTCATGGCAACAGCCCCTTGTCCCACCACCTGCTCCTACCCCCCCTGCCCCAGTCCACCCCGATGACGGTGATGGTCTGGATGGAAACGTCGCCGCCTATCTGCAGGGCATTGACACTCTCAACTGGAATACGGTAGTTGAACACATGAAGGTCTTGCCCGTTCACGGTTACCTATGACAGAAAAACACATCAGCTCATGTGACCATACACAACTATGGTCTAACCCTGACCTAATTCAACAGGGACCCCTTATGTGATAGCAAATTCATCAGGGACCCCTTTTGTGATAGCAAATTCATCAGGGACCCCTTTTGTGATAGCAAATTCATCAGGGACCCCTTTTGTGATAGCAAATTCATCAGGGACCCCTTCCAAATCAGAACACAACTTAAGTGAGATAAATATAGCATACAAGGAGTTTTACTATGACTTTGGCAGTGCCTGGCCGAACAAACAAAGTCTCGGGCCCTGGGAAATAAAATTATAAAGGCCAGCCTATTGGCATCGGAGAGAACATTTTGCAGTTCAAGCTAATTTCCTGCAATCCTACATATTTTGTCATGGGGTAGAGAGAAGTATTGAGTTTAAAAATGTATAATTGGTGGAATACTGTGGATACCAATATCCCTCAGAGCCTCCCAGACCCATGTTGCCCAGGGTTAAGAACAAAAATTGTAGATGAATAATGTTAGATTGTATTGTATTACACCCTGTAAACTTATTTCACGGATCCCTTGGCCAAAATGGGTTTAATCTGTTATTAGTTTTATTCATTAAAAACATCAAATAAATAAAAAATCTTTATATTTTGAGATCTGGCCGCTGACCCCCCGCTGACCCCTGTCATAGAGGATAGAACAGCAAATGTAAACCAAACATTATTTTGGCCTCAATTCAATCAAATGCATTATGGTGTTTACTGCAGTAAATTGTTGACCATGCATGGTCAAATAAAATCTAACAGTATCGATCTCTATATACAAACCCCCCTATATAACTATATATTACACAACCCCCCCATATAACTACCGTATTTTCCACACTATAAGGCGCACCGGATTATAAGGCGCACCTTCAATGAATGGCCTATTTTAGAACTGTTTTCATATATAGGGCGCACCGGATTATAAGGCGCATAGAATAGAAGATACTGAAGTCAAACGTTTGACTGGGGTTGCATCCACTAGATGGAGCTGTGCTAAAGGGAATGTCAACAAAACAGTCAGATAAAGTCAAATTTTATTAAGCGTTCTGACAACTCCGTTCACTCCCATGGTAACGTTGTTCAAACGTTAATGTGCATATTAATAATATCTCCCAGCCTTGCTCACTCTTCTCCCAAACGTGGAGGGGAACTTTTCCCTGATTCAGTAAACACGTAGTAAAAGAAACAGTCTGATACCACTAAATCAAACGTTAGTGCATAACTCAACATTGTTCAGTTACGTATAACACGTAAAGCTTTCCCCGTCCACGAATCCCTCGAATTCTTCTTCTTCAGTGTCCGAATTGAACGGAAACTCCTGTTTAGTCTTCTTTACTTGGCGCAGGTCATCTTCTTGCTTCCTCCACTTCCGTACCATTGATTCATTAATGTTGAATTCTCTCGCTGCTGCTCTATTCCCATATTCTACTGCGTGACCGACAGCCTTGAGCTTGAACTCTGCGTCGTAAGCGTGTCTCTTGAAAGGTGCCATTTTGGGGTCTTTATACACACACACAAGTGATGTGGGACTGTGAGTAAGCACAGTACCGGTGTTTACTGACTACGGTAGCCGTAATGCTGCAAGCGGTGCGGCTTTGTAGTTTACCAGTCATACTGAAACATTTCATTATTATTAAATTGTTTTTATTGGTTTTTCATACTGAAACATTTTGACAGAGCGCCTTGAGCGCCGTGTACAACCAGTATGGATCAACCAATTAACCAATTGATCCATATATAAAGCGCTCCGGATTAAAAGGCGCACTGTCATTTTTTGAGAAAATTAAAGGCTTTTAAGTGCGCCTTATAGTGCGGAAAATACGGTATATATTACACAACCCCCCTATATACAGTGGGGAGAACAAGTATTTGATACACTGCCGATTTTGCAGGTTTTCCTACTTACAAAGCATGTAGAGGTCTGTAATTTTTATCATAGGTACACTTCAACTGTGAGAGAAGGAATCTAAAACAAAAATCCAGAAAATCACATTGTATGATTTTTAAGTAATTAATTAGCATTTTATTGCATGACATAAGTATTTGATCACCTACCAACCAGTAAGAATTCCGGCTCTCACAGACCTGTTAGTTTTTCTTTAAGAAGCCCTCCTGTTCTCCACTCATTACCTGTATTAACTGCACCTGTTTGAACTCATTACCTGTATAAAAGACACATGTCCACACACTCAATCAAACAGACTCCAACCTCTCCGCAATGGCCAAGACCAGAGCGCTGTGTAAGGACATCAGGGTAAAAATTGTAGACCTGCACAAGGCTGGGATGGGCTACAGGACAATAGGCAAGCAGCTTGGTGAGAAGGCAACAACTGTTGGCGCAATTATTAGAAAATGGAAGAAGTTCAAGATGACGGTCAATCACCCTCGGTCTGGGGCTCCATGCAAGATCTCACCTCGTGGGGCATCAATGACCATGAGGAAGGTGAGGGATCAGCCCAGAACTACACGGCAGGACCTGGTCAATGACCTGAAGAGAGCTGGGACCACAGTCTCAAAGAAAACCATTAGTAACACACTACGCCGTCATGGATTAAAATGCTGCAGCGCACGCAAGGTCCCCATGCTCAAGCCAGCGCATGTCCAGGCCCATCTGAAGTTTGCCAATGACCATCTGGATGATCCAGAGGAGGAATGGGAGATGGTCATGTGGTCTGATGAGACAAAAATATATATTTTTGGTCTAAACTCCACTCGCCGTGTTTGGAGGAAGAAGAAAGATGAGTACAACCCCAAGAACACCATCCCAACCGTGAAGCATGGAGGTGGAAAAATCATTCTTTGGGGATGCTTTTCTGCAAAGGGGACAGGACGACTGCACCGTATTGAGGGGAGGATGGAAGGGGCCATGTATCGCGAGATCTTGGCCAACAACCTCCTTCCCTCAGTAAGAGCATTGAAGATGGGTCATGGCTGGGTCTTCCAGCATGACAACGACCCGAAACACACAGCCAGGGCAACTAAGGAGTGGCTCCGTAAGAAGCATCTCAAGGTCCTGGAGTGGCCTAGCCAGTCTCCAGACCTGAACCCAATAGAAAATCTTTGGAGGGAGCTGAAAGTCCGTATTGCCCAGCGACAGCCCCGAAACCTGAAGGATCTGGAGAAGGTCTGTATGGAGGAGTGGGCCAAAATCCCTGTGCAAACCTGGTCAAGACCTAGAGGAAAAGTATGATCTCTGTAATTGCAAACAAAGGTTTCTGTACCAAATATTAAGTTCTGCTTTTCTGATGTATCAAATACTTGTCATGCAATAAAATGCAAATTAATTACTTTAAAATCATACAATGTGATTTTCTGGATTTTTGTTTTAGATTCCGTCTCTCACAGTTGAAGTGTACCTATGATAAAAATTACAGACCTCTACATTCTTTGTAAGTAGGAAAACCTGCAAAATCGGCAGTGTATCAAATACTTGTTCTCCCCACTGTATATGCCTATATCTACATGTATATTTATACATTGTTAATCATGGTCAAATAATATATCTTGGTTGACGACTATGACCGTCTACATATCTCTATATATTGATTTACCTGAACTGACTCTTCACACCTCAGCATACAGTCATCCACACACACATCAAACTGTTGCTACCAGACTCTACAGACGTACAGTCATGCAATGTAGAAAATAGTTTTAAAAAATTAAGAAAAACCCTTGAATGTGTAGGTGTGTCCAAACTTTGGACTGGTAGTGTATACAGTTGAAGTCGGAAATGTACATACACATAGGTTGGAGTCATTAAAACTTGTTTTAAGAGAGAGAGGGAGGGAGCAGACAGATGTTGCTCCACACTGCCACGCGTTGGTCAGACAACAACGTCCTCCGTCCCCAGGCATGTTAACGTGGTATATAGATAGGGCGATTGTGGCTGTAATTCTGAAACAAGCTGGCTGGAGCTGTACCCGGGGCTATTCTTCAGAGGTAAACAAGAGTGTAGCAGCACTAACCCCACCTCACACACACACACACACACACACACACATAAACATACACACACACACACACACACACACCTTCCCTATACCCCTCGCTCTCCATACTTATTATCTCTCCCTCAGTTCCTCTCGTTTTACGCTCAGTGTTTTTCTCTCTCCTCTTTGTCACTGCGAGTTGAGACATGATGTGAGAAAGATATAGGGGAACAACAACAGGGACAATATCAGGATGTGCGTTGCGTGTCTTTGTGTAATACGACTCTGTATTTACTGGTAACAAACACCCACCCACACACACACACACACACACACATACAGTTGAAGTCGGAAGTTTACAAACACGTAGGTTGGAGTCATTCAAACTTGTTTTTCAACCACTCCACAAATGTCTTGTTAACAAACTATAGTTTTGGCAAGTCGGTTAGGACATCTACTTCGTGTATGACACAAGTAATTTTTCCAATAATTGTTTACAGACAGATTATTTCACTTATAATTCACTGTATCACAATTCCAGTGGGTCAGAAGTTGACTGTGCCTTTAAACAGCTTGGAAAATTCCAGTAAATTATGTCATGGAAGCTTCTGATAGGCTAATTCACATAATTTGAGTCAATCGGAGGTGTACCTGTGGATGTATTTCAAGGCCTACCTTCAAACTCAGTGCCTCTTTGCTTGACATCATGGGAAAATCAAAAGAAATCAGCCAAGACCTCAGAAAATAAATTGTAGACCTCCACAAGTCTGGTTCATCCTTGGGAGCAATTTTCAAATGCCTGAAGGTACCACGTTCACAAATACATCCACAGGTAGACCTCCAATTGACTCAAATGATGTCAATTAGCCTATCAGAAGCACAGTCAACTTAGTGTATGTAAAATTCTGACCCACTGGAATTGTGATACAGTGAATTATAAGTGAAATAATCTGTCTGTAAACAATTGTTGGAAAGATTACTTGTGTCATGCACAAAGTAGATGTCCTAACCGACTTGCCAAAACTATAGTTTGT